CAGCCATGCTGGCTGGGGAATTCTGGGAGTTGAAGTCCACTCATCTTAAAGTGGCCAAGTTTGGACAACACTGATCTACAGACTAGCATGCCTCCTCCTCCTTCCCCCTACCTATATTTTATGTCAAACACTGTGGCGTCTTCCTCATCATCATCCTCTTCGTTTAAGGGGGCCATTTCCACACGTTCTGCCGGAGTTGTGATGATGTCGTATTTGCGCGGCTTTTTAATCCTCCTGCCAGACCTAAAACAGCAAAAGAGAAAACCATTTAGATACCACATAACTCCAATATCTGTTTAGAAAGATTGCAACCGTCTCTTCCGTACCATGGTCCCCCAAGCCATCAGCAGCCATTTTGGCTGGTTGGAGGAAATATTTGGGGTGGGCTAGGGGGAAGAATCACAAGATTCAAACCCCAAGACTTCCCGTCTTAAGACCATATGTGATTGATTAACTTAAAGGTTTTGTTCACACCCAAAATACACAACCCACTCTCTTCTTCATCAACTTATGATTCTATGTGGGGTCAACTGCTTCATTTCCAAGCTGGCACTTCTAAGAAGTTCTCTTAAAACAGCAAGCTGGAATCCAAGACATGGTTGGAAACCTTCTCGTGAAGGCTGCAAAAGGAAGTCTGTTGCACCCTTGTGAAGTCTGTAGTGCTAAGAGGAATAATATTCACTTTTTTTTCCTTCCTGGTGCACCCAGTATCTGTGGCACAGCATTTCTCTTCAGCTGAGGAATTCAGCTGTTTTAATCCAGGCTTAAGACTGTTTAGAGTAAAACCTATTGCATGAGACTAATCAAATGTGGATGGCTTTTTATCTGGAGAATAAAGCCACTATGTTGGGAGAAATATGTATATGCGTTCTGCCCTATTGAAATCCTGCCCCCACACCAAAAAAATAAAAAATAAAAAATCTGGAGCCGTCACATTACATCAGTTTAGGAATGAAATTGCCAACGATTAAACAGCTTGTACTCTGTCGGTCCAACTGTCATTTGAATGAGCTTGTTAGATGCGAACCGCATAATGAGCTATTAAAAACCAATACAGGTTGGCAGGTGTTTAAAAAGTGTTCTCAAGATTACGCTATTTATTTCAGAAAACATACCAGCTTCTAGTTCACGTTTCACCATCAATAACATTAATTAAAATCACCCCTCTGTGCCTTTATTATAGATTTATTTGACGTCCGTTCAGTTTTGCATTGTTTTTGCTGACACATTACAGACCTCCTTATCACAAAGACTTGGGCTGTGCTGAAAGCAGCTTTGTACATTTAAAAAGAAAAAATGCTCTCTCTACCCAAACCTTCCCCTGGGGGCAGGATTACATAACCCTTTCTTGGTGTGCTTCATTGCACCTGAAGGACTCTCCCAGAATACAATGCTCAGTAGATCCTCCTAAGCTGACCTCAAAGAGTTAAGCAGGGTTCGACTTTGCTGGCCTCTGGATGGGAGAGCACCAGGGCTGAAGCCTAAACCAGGAAGTTAAAATTAAAAAAAAATCCCGAAAGGAAGAAAGAACGAACCACCTATTTCATGCTGCCCAGAAAACTACACGGACATGGTCCTTTAGTCAATGGCAGTGGAGCTGAAATTAAGGGAAACTTTGGGTTCATGACACACCACAGCACAACACCTGAGACTGAAGGCAATCTTGGTGACTGTGATAAAAGGGCGTGTTAAAATAGCTATGTGCTTTTAACCACCATGTAACCTGTATATTTCAGGCTCTCATGACTGAGAAGCTCTTAGTCCACAGTTTACAAATATGCTGAGGTCCAAAGCCAATATTTCCCTATTCCTGCACATTTGAAGGTGTTTTTTTAAAGAGAGAGAGAGAGCGAGCAGTAATTCTCTTGCTACCATCTCCTCTCTCTCACCTTCTCTTGGGCACTTTCCCATGTTCAGTTTCGCCAACCAATCTTAGCTGACCATTTGATACACTCAGTTTCACAATTCCTTATAGTCGGCTGCACTACATCAAAAGTAGACCCTCCAGCTTTGATTTTTCCCTGCTTTGCACACACCATTTTCCAGCAGCTTCCTACTACTAAAATGAGCATCACTGTGGCTTTGAAATACGTTCTACTCAGCTGCACACAGGGCCCCCAATGGCCCCCAAGACCTGTCATAAAAGTTCCTCTTGGAAAAAATGGGTTTTTGAGGGAAAGCAACTTCAGGAGGATTCAGAGGAGAAGCAATCCTTGTTCTGATGAAATATAAGATTACTTCTGGGACGCATGGATCATTCTTCTTGAATCTTGCCTGCTCCCCTGCAAAATCTAACCAGAATTCCTAGCCAGCATTGTTAAAGGGACACATCTGGAGGACCTGATGTTGTAGAAAGCTGGGCTAGTAAAAATCGGAACTTTTAATCACTTTGCAGAGAATATTAATCTCAAACAGCTTTTGTTTAAAGTGGAGATGTAAAAACACTCCTATTAATCTTTATGGACATTATTACTCACACACCCTTTGCTCTGGGTTTATTTAAACATCTGGCACTGGGCACCTGTGGCCTGCATTTATGAATTTCAAATATTTACTCAGCTTAACCTAGCTTGTTTTAGTAGTTCTGTGCAAGCTTCCACAGAGTTACCACTCAGGAATTAGTTTGACAACTTCCCCTTTATGTTCACCTTTCGCGGTGGCTTAACAGTCCATTTTTAAAGGACAATAATCAGGTGCCTCTACAAACTAGTTTCCGCAGTTAGTGAATGCACAAAACAAGCCCTAACATGCATTTATTTATTTCCTGTCAATCCAATATGGTGACCTTGATGGATTCCACTGTTCCTGATAGCCCTGCTCCTCTGCTTTGAACAGGGTGTGGGCAAGCAAGATTAACTGGGTAAGAAAAGGTTAACCAAAAGGCCATTCTAGACAGCTTTACTTGCTAAGTTCTTGTCTCAGGCTTCTGTTTAAGGTGGGGCGAGGTAACCAGTTAAAAGTTGGAAGGAAGTTGTTTCAAAGAAAACAAAACTAAGAAGCTCAAACCGAGTTGGGTCTCTTGTTTTAACATTGTAATTTTACACCCTATAGGCTGCCCCATCCCAAGGACTAAAGGCAACTTCTCGCAACTTGGCTGGGCTTGCTGGGAACGATGGGGATTGTATCACGACCACGTGGCGTTTCCTAAAACCCACTGCTTATTTCCTCGGCTTTGCTATAGAGGCGAGTAACCGTTTTGGAGCAACCGGCAGAACAGAACTTGGGAGCACACAATGTGGTTGTCCTGAAGGACACACTCCCGTGTGTTAAATAACAAGTTGTGCAGAGTGACCATCATCATCAGCTGTAGCATCCCGTCCACCCTGTGCTCTTCCCTTGCTCTTTTTTGCTAGGTGGGGGGGCCTGCTTCCAAGCCAAGCACAGGGCCATAGTTACTTCACCATTTTCCAAGAATGCTTCCTGGGTTTAATTGGGCCTAGAGGCATTCTTGGAAATGAACATGATCCTCTCCTCCATCATACATAAATAAGCCAAATTGCTAGTAAGCCTAAGGACACACAATTGGCTTCTTTTAAAAATACATAAATCAGCCAAATTGCTAGTAAAACTGTGCAATCAAAAATAGGGTTATTCTTCTCACTTCTGCTTCCCTTTCTTGATTGTCCTCCCTGGGCTAACTTTAGACTGTAAGCCCCTTGGGGCAGGAAGCTATCTTGTCATTGTCAAAGGCAGGGTGTGGGGCTGCCAAGCTTCTGCCTGAGCCACTCTAGCCCCCTCAACAACAGGGACCAGAATCTAGCTCCTCAGCGTGCAAACCAAGATCTCAGGACCACATATGCTCCCCTTTCCAAATCTGGACAGTGTCCCTTCACCGTGCCGAAAGTTGCTGCTGAACTGTGATTTTTTAATGGAAGAGGGAAGGATTAAAGACTGGCAGCAGGCTGCCGATATTCAACTGAGTTTCACTGTTTTCAATTCATATTACATCAAGCATCATTTCCATCCTGATCCACCCCGTTTTTTTATTGATGTGTTAGATGTATACCCTACATTTTTCATCATGTCCTCCCATTGTGACTCAGAACCACCACCCTGTGAAGCAGGCTGAACTGGGAGAGAGTGGCTGGGTCAAAGTCACCCAGTAAGCTTTGGTAGCTGAGGGTGGGGTTGGACTGGGATCCCGCTGGTGCCGATCCAACATCTGAACCCCTACACCACAGAAGTTCTTTGTGGACACTGGAGCCTACCTTAAAGACCAAGCGCAGCCCTTGCTTGGGGCTGGGTTCAACTGAAGCAACTTATAAGCCTGGGGAGCCTTCTCTGCCGTGGCTCCCTCCTTGTGGAACATTCTCCCCCCGAAGTGAGGCTCACCCCTTCCCTGATGTCATTTAGGAAGTCCCTCAAGACCTGGTTGTGTCATCAGACCCGGGGGTCTTTGGGAACCGGAGACCTTCTTAGATGGCTCCACTATGATTCATTTTCTCTCTCTCCGTGGGGTTTGTATATATTAAAATTTAAAATTTTCAAACTTTTTCATGATGCTGTATTTTAATCATCACTTTTTAATCTTTTATCATGATGGTTTTTATCCATTTGTTATTTTATTTAATTGTTGTACACCGCCCAGAGTCACTTTGTGCAAGATGTGCGGCTATATAAATGTGATAAATAAATAAAAATAAAATCAATCCATCAATTAATCAATCAAGGTGGTGCATCCCTGTGGCAGGCAGACCTGGGTTCCAATGGCACTAGTCATTCAAAAAAGAATCTCGCAATAATGGTGCAAGAAGCAGCTGCCGACAAAAGCGAAGAGATAAACCCATGTGGGCTGCTGTTCTTCTAATTTTGCAAATGTTTTGCTTCATTTAAAAATGCCACTGAGGCGGTTGGCAGGAGAGCTGTGCACCAACCCTGCACCACTTCCACTACTTGGTTAAGGCGGACTGTCACATGGAAAGCAGCTGAGTGTCCTCACTGGCTTCAACCTGCGATCTATTTTTAGTCAAGCAGCCTTGAGAAAAGGATCCATGCTTAACCCAACCCCCCTCCAAGAACAGGTCCAGAAATGAGTCCTCCCTGAGGCCGGCCAGAGTCTCTTGGTGAAATAAAATCTGGATCTTGATGTTTGAGGCATAAACCCAGATCAAAGCCCCACTGTGGGAACCCCAAGATGCTGGGAATTGGTACCCCCCCAGTCTTACAGCCAAGACTTCTAGGATCCTGTAAAAATGGGGAGGTACTAATCTTCTTGGGCTCTCCTTCCCCTTTTTTAGTAATGC